GTCTCTCCGGCATCCAGACGGTGTAGGATACTTCCACCTGCATGCTACACATCCCCTCCGTATTACCCGCATCGTCCTCTTTTGAGATGACCCATTGTCTATCATGAATTTCATGATTTCGGTTTCCGAAGGTTCACAGTTATACCCTCGAGTATTTCTGAGCGCAACGGATAATGGCAAGAGTGAGAAGAGGACTGAGGAAATCGCCCTGAAATATACCCCTTCTGACCTACCCTGTTTGGACTCTGGCTTGACCAGATATTATGGTGATGCGAGTCCGCCAGAGTAGTATCAGTTTTTTTGAGCATCTCACTATTTTGTCGGGTTCTACAAGGCATATGAACAAATGCAAGATGAGCGCATGCGATGTTGTATCAAATGCCTTGCGGTAATCAATCCAGGCCATAGAGACGTTATGTTTATACTGTATCGAGTCCTACGTTACACATCTATCGATGAACAGGTTCTCTTCACATGCAGCGACTCCTTTCTTCGACCCTCTCTGTCCATATATCCGTTCCAACACTCGGTCAACTGCGATGAGTATTGGTGTGTCTAAGATGATTGTATACAACTTATAACACGAATTGAAGCATGTTATCCGTCTGTAATGCTTAAGAATCGGAAATATCGACACATCTCCAGTTTTGGGGATGGGAATGGTTCGACTCTCGACAAACCAATCCGAAATCGGCTGCTCTCCGTCCAATCATGAGATGAAAACTCTGGACAGATGGCGGTGGGTGCTTGGTAATTTTTTCCACCAAAAAGTGTTCAGCCTGGAGCAGCAAAGTTCTTGGAGCTCACAAGGGCTCTTTGAACGTCATCCGGGGTTATTGGATTGCGCAGTTCATTGAACTCAGGCTGTCGAAGCTCTCTACTGAACGCTTCGAACTGCGCCATGGCTGGAGTGTCGAGTGGCTGCGGGTGTTCATGAATGTCCTTCCAGAAGGATTCCACCTGATCAGCGGTCGGGGGATTATCCACAACACGTAAAGGCTCTTGAAATTATTATTATTATTATTCTTATTATCATTATTAATAATATTACCATTTTCAATGATAAAATATCAGATATTGATACTTATTATCATCCTATTCCCGACGAAGACAAATTCATGAACACAAAAATCATAAGATACTGCTTTTTTAGAGTAAATAACGGCAGGTGAATAGAGTAGATGTGAATTGACCTGTTTTCAGTCAATTTATTAACGTCGATTTCATGACCAAGTCATAGCAGTTTCTGGAAAAAACCGTTCTAGAGTATCTTCTGTATAATTGACCTCATAGGGCGCGACACCCTTAGTAGTAATAACACTCTGAGAAGAGTAGGTAGATCAATGATTATTGATTGAAGAATATTTTTGTTCATTCTGCTGATCTGAGAATGTCTACAAATTATTTGTTCTATAAACAGTTTGAATCAGCATACGTTAAATCGCACGTACGCTCATCGCTTTATTATTCCTTTCTCATAGATTGAACGGTAAATCAATAATATCCAAGTCTAACCGATTCATTTCAATACCAGGAAGTTCAAAGCACACTTTACTGCTGTCCCTGCTATTATTCCATTTGTAATAATATCCATTTAACTGTTTCCAGAAATTCCTTCCTATCTTCAATCTCATATCTCCAACTGATAGCGCGGGCAATTTAATTAAATAACGAGATATTCACGAGGTTGAATTTTAGAGAATGGAAATACGTGTTATTATATCAGGTTTTTACAAAAGTATTGTCCGTTTATATGAGTCTACTTCACACTGTAATATCTTAGTAAATACTCATTCATTTGAAATAAGCGATTAACACCGTCAGCATAAAATTCATGTGCTCGGTATTCGATGAAGTCGACGAAGGCCGTTTTTGCCTAGTCCTGATTGATGAAGGTTCTACCGACGAGAAAGTTATCGAAGTGCTTGAAAAAATGGTAGTCGGTTGGCGAGAGGTCTGAAGAGTATAGTAGGTTAGGCAAAACTTTGACGTTCAGTTCGTTTATTTTCGAACGGTGATTTGTGAAACATGCCGACGGCCGCTGTTGTGAAGCAGGATCGGACCTCTTCTATTGGCCAGTGTCGGCTCATGCTGACGTAATGTTCGATATTTTCAGCACCATGTAGTTATAATCCTCAGGAAATTTAATTTCGTCAATTTGGATATGAATATATTTTATACAATTACTGATATGAATATTCTTCCTCAATAATTTTTTGGTTCTTTACAGTATCAAGTAATAAAAAACTTAGGACAAGAAACCTCCGTAACCGTTTCAGATGACAGTCATAATCAACGATAGGGGTATTTCTGTAGAAATACCCCAATCAACAATCATCAATCAAGCCAAAATTTCAGATAGACTTTCTGTATCATATTCAGGCGCAGTAAACCAATTTAAATTTCCTTTAAAAGATCATGTCATTCTTTTTCCGGCCTCACGAGAAGTTAGACTACAGGAGTATAAATTTACTTACTCTCGGTGAAAAAGTACCACCTGAAAACATAATACTTTCGTCTCATATCCTTCTGTTAAGAACGAGATGAAGAAAACTTTATTAGGCCTCACAAATTTTGTAATAAAATTTAGATCTCTCCCACTTCAATGCCGCCAGTTCATACTCTCTAAAAGTTACTGGATGTTAGAAGAGGAAATATGGCGTTAGATGATATTGATCAACCAGGCATGATTTGCAGAAAGTTACAATTATTATGTGGTACATATTGATAGTGGTTACATCACATGAGGAGGTGATGAGATAATTATCTTATATTTGAAAAATATCTATAATAATACATAACTTATGATTTTACACAACTGTAGCATGCGAGTCCTCAAAATATATTAATTTCATGTCAATTCGCAACTCTTGACCCATTCATCATTCGATATTAATTATACCACAATCGGTAGCCGTCCCGATATCATATCAAGTTTATTCAGTGAACTAATTTCGCAGAAGTAAATACCTATCAAGAGTATTTTTCAATTGAATCTCAACGACAAAATTTATCTGACCATAATTTGTGAACTGGTTAGCAACAAAGTTCAATAACATATTTCCACAACTTTGATTACCAGATCAAAATAACCTTGGTGAGGCGGTTGAATTGAAAATATTTATAATAATATCACATACCGACAAAAGACAGAATATCATTATTTAATTCACGTGATACATTAATAATAGTCATTTATTGATAAACAGTCTTCAAACACTATTTCAGGTGTTTCTGAACGTATTTCATGCTGCCGATGAAACAGAAAAAATATTTAAAATTCCATGTGTTAGTAACTTCATCATATTCGCCATGTGTTAGTAACTCCATCATAATATTTATAACTTGAGTCGCTTGATGGGTAAAATATCACTGATAATTTGAATAGCTCATTATGAAACATACACTTATATGCTCGAATATAATCATTAAACAGAGTTTCATCATGTGAAAGAATAGGAAAATGCTTGGCATCGCTGTTAATTAGGTTTTGTTCCCATAACTCCAGCTTTTTGATAAATGCTTCGATATCAGAAATCATTTCCGCTAGTTTTTTGTCTCTCCCCTGAAGCTGCAAATTGAGTTCGTTAAATTTCTCTGTAATGTCCAGGAAAAAACCAAAATCTCTAAGCCAGATTGAAATTTCTAGTTCCTGAGTCGGTTCATCGCGTGTTTGAAAAATTGAACTATGGCAGATAGGACATCATTAAAACGTTTCAGCACCCGTCCTCTACTTAACCATCGGACTTCAGCGTGAAAGAGTAGGTCCCCGTATTGACAGTCAACTTCATCGGGAGAAAATATACAGAACACGGAGCGAAACAAACATATTTTCTGATAAACTAAATTCATTATAAAATATATTTCATTCTATTATCAGCTCGGTGAAGGTCAATTTAGGTTCGGATCTTAGACTATATATTTATTATATAGAGACGAAGGAGTAGGAAGCCAATAAGCTTTTTTTAACAAAAACAAATATCTCCGTTTCAGTTAAAATACATGGTTTTTCTGAAACCATGAGATTCGGTTATTGAGTGTCTTACTAATATAATCAATTGGCGATGTCAATGAAGATATAATTTGCACTTATAATTGGATATTTCAAATTCAAACCATTATATTTTTCCTTCAGGTTTACCTGAATGAGTTTAAAAAACTCCATCTGGTGTGACTAATACACAGTAAATGCTATACATTCGAATTGGGCTAGTAAATTGGAATGAGCTGTAGATTGAACCCAACAAAAGCACTGCTTTGACAATTTTGTCGACCTTTGTCTTATCAACCAAGTTGGCTCCTTAAGGGAATGAACACACTGAACTGAATCCCTCAAGAGTATACCTGTTTTGTTACAATGAGAATTCTGAAATATAAATCATTTGCATCATGAAAATAATTGATAATCCATAAAACTTTTAAATTGAAGCTAGTTATTTCATTATCATTATTTGAAAAATACATTTTTTTTTTCTACTTCTCATTTGATATTGTATACACAACAAAAATTAGTGAAAAATTATTTCTCCAAAATTTCTTTTCTATTCCTTGTAACTGCTGAAATGAAAACAATTATTGTGCTTATTTCAAGGGAGCAAACATATCTGATATTCGTATCTCAGATGTTTCAAAAATCAATATAGTGTTTTGTTTTTTGAAAGGTATGCATCTCGTTGAACATAACACAAGGTCTAACTCGTCGAACATATAGTAGGTATCTGCTCATAAGATCTCATTAAACTTGATCCGAATATTTTAATTCGGATAACAATTTCAATCACAATTTTTATTTTTAGGTAGCAAATGTTTATCCCACCAGTATCTCCGATTATCATTCTTTTCCAATTGTGTGACTCGCATCATTACGTTATCAAGTATATTTTTTGAAATAGTTATGCTTTTCTAACTTTTTGATAACCCCCATATGATCATTATTTCAAAAACTTCAAGGTAATTAGTCTGATTGAAAGTAACCCGCTGATGGTATATAATGAGATAGGTCAGAATAAAATTCAACAGTCACGATTGAATGAGTATAAAAATGTCTTTCGTCATACGTTCAGTCCTCCTACTTTTATTCGTTTTCTGTTGGAGTGGTATTTGCAATGGTAAGGAAATTACTTGTTATTACTCATCGTCTTCATTAATTAACATGAACAGCTCCTGAGCATTCGTGGGTTTAAATTAAATTCAACTACTCCATACAATGTGCGTAATAAGCATTAAATATTTGACAAAGAGATATTTTGTCTTTATACTTCTCTATATCTATACAAAAAATGTGGGAATCTCCCAAAGAAAGAAAGAAAGTCAGCAATTTTGAAATGGAATCTTCACAAAGATTCCCACATTTTTGGTGTGAAGATGGAGAAGTAGAAAGCCAAAACATTTCTTTCCCAAAAATTATTACATACTTCTTTCAATTTGAAAATTCAAATAACATATTTATCTTGTGCAAAAAAAGTGAAAATGATATATAAACAGCTTTCATTTCAGGATTCCCTCTGAGATACAAATATATATACGAGGGCGGTCGTCATGTTGATGTCGGAAACTTTTCAGACCGCCCCCGTATAGTCAATAAATCATTTGCATAACCAACAAAATGATTTGAAATAACCATATAAATTTTTTATGTTCTTGAATTTTCGATAATGGATGAAAGAATACATAAATTCGAATATAAGCCAAAGAAATTTCATAATCAGTCAAGGTACGTTAGTATGATTGAATTCATTTTTTGGTTTTTCGTTTCTTAGATTTCTTGTAGTGAAAATATTTCATTTTTCCAGTACAGGAAGCAACGATTTAAAAGCCGAAGTGTGATTATCTATTTCATATCACGAGAGAAAAATATGATCATGATATTTTCATTAGTAGGTTCGTTGAAAGTCAAAAATATTTTGAAAATATACCATAGCGAAGGACGGAACTATGTTCTTGAATGGACAATCTTTTCATATTTGGATTCCTTGTGGATATACATCAAGCAAGTCAGAAGATCTGTTAAATCTGTTTTTCTGTTTATCAATTGTGCCAAAAATCATTTCAACTGTCCGCATTTCCAATTAAAAATCACTTTGAGAGTCTATTTCATCATGAAAATATTGTATACAGTGGATTGATAACTATACTTTTTGTATTCATGTCATAACTGTATTCGAAAATCCGAGTTTTCAGGGTAAAATTTTGCAAATAAAATTACGTATTCTCAAAAAGCAACTTGACAACAGATACTCGTATATTGTCTCATTTTTCTCTTCCTCTTTTTCAAGATACTCACAATTTTATCCACTATGTCTTTGGTTGGTGACGGTTTATCTGCATCATTTAACAAAACCGCAATTGAAAGTTTTTTTTATGTATAGAATAGTATGTTTATATAATTTATGATAGAAATATGGTAAATGGGGCTTTGAAAAATTTCAATGATGACAATTTCACTGATGACATGACTACTTCGAATTCCTTAGCCATATTGATACAATGTTCATTTATTGTCTTGTACATTTTTTCATTATTCGTGGTAAGCATTTATGAACAGTTTTAATGAACATTATATTCGATTAAAATATTTCCTTGAAAATTATTATGATATTTCATAGGTCTCATCATCAACAAGATGGTATCTCCTAAACAAACTATTATAAAAAAACCATTTCTCCTCATATGAGCATTGGGGTTTTTTGCTAAAGATGATGTTGAAAATGATATTCTTCCATAATTTTTGTCAAATCTGTCATATCCATGAGATGAAAGAATTGTTTGGTTAAATCAAAAATAATGATTCGGTGGGGTGGGATGCTATTTCCTTAAAAATTCTGAAAACTCTTCCCAACAGGGCTTTGAGTGCGTTGGCGGAGGCAATAAATTTCTCATTCTACATCCCATCGTGTCTGAAAATTGCCACAATCATTCCTTTACATAAAGAAGGCGATCTTGATAACCCCACTAATTTTAGGCCAATTGCTTTGCTACCCGTCTTGTCTAAAGTTATAGAAAAATTGGTAAAAAACGAGTAATATTCTTCCTCGAAAAAAACAATATAATGAATGTATTCCAGTTTGGCTTTCAGTCCTCAAAAAGAACACAAGACACCATATTTTCCCTCCTGGAAAACCTGTACACCAATCTTAATGAAAGAGAATCTGCGGCGGCCTTGTTTTGTGACCTAACCAAGGCCTTCGATTGTGAATACCACATGCTACTTCTCCGCAAGCTAGAAGTTTACGGATTCATTGTTTTGGTTTGAGACGTACCTTTCTCATCGGTGGCAGAATGTTCTATTAGATGGAATTTCATCAGAGAAACATTTCATTTGCAGTGGGGTCCCACAAGGTTCGGTTTTGGAATCGGTGTTGTTCCTTATTTATGTCAATGAGTTAGTCCATGTGGACATAAGTGGTAAATTCAAATGTTTCGCTGATGACACCACTATCCTCCGGCATAGCAAAACTGACTCAAATTTACTTGATCAAATCATCGTCGACATAAGAATGGTGAAAGAGTAGTGTGATTCTAATCTTTTATCATTCAACATCGACAAAACAAATGTGATCACGTTTGGATGTAACATAGAGGAAGTACTCTAGGAAAACGATGAAAATCTAAAATTTGATTTGCATGTACCCGGACAGTAGCCGTTTGGTTTCTACGTGTCTGCTTTGTACACTCACTCAAATCGATCGCCGTGTTGGTCGCTGGTCGCTAGTCTGAACGATCGATTTTCACTTGCTATCGTCCAACATGTGCTAGGAGTCACAGTTAAAACGTAAGATCTCGTTAATCCTTAGCTCGTTCCAACTTCTGAGGGTTTTCGTTCGTAGGGGTGCGACAGCTGGTTAACGGAAAAACAGATTTCAAACAGATTTTTTAAACAGATGTCGACTACTTATGTAAAAGACTAGCAGCAAGATGTCATGCAATGAGAGTTGTTGCAAGAGAGTTAGATACTACTATTACAAGATCAGTTTATTTTGCACAAATTGAGTCCTATTCACGTTATGGAATTTATTTTTGGGGAAATTGTGCACAATTTCATTTCAATATGGTATTCTCTCTACAAAGAAGATCCATCATATTTATGCAAGGCTAGCACAGGGCTTCATGCCGCCCATTATTTGTGAAGCAAAACAAATCTGACTTCAGTATGTCTTTTTGTTTTAGAAACAGTGTGTCTTATCTACAAAAAATATATAATCCAATTTAATACAACACGTCAGTCTTACTTCATTTCCTTTCCAACACGTACTCTAGTCCTTACACAAAATTGTATTATTTTCAATAGCAAGAAGTTATTTAATCACCTTTCCATTGATTTAAGGCGAATATATAATGAGAAGAAATTCAGAAAGAAAGTAAAAGAATTTCTTGTTGGAAGGCCCTTTTATAGGGCCTTCCTAGACCTGAAACATTCTGGGTAAAAGCTATACTACTACTCCTCAGATCAGTTTCATTCGTGAAGTTTTAATAGCAATTCTGGAGTCCATTCAGTAATACGATGTTGATAATATCAGATATTACCAACGGTGAAAGATTTTAAAATATGTATCTTCTTCTACAGTAAATAATGACTCTCATGAATGATTTTGATCAACTGATCTTCACCCCTTGTAACACAGAGGAACCTGCGTTATTTTTTAAAGTAGAATATTCATATTTTTGGACTTTCTGACCCAATTATTGAATATTCTATCGTCTCAAATAGTATTTTTTCTTGTGAGCACACCCTTCGTGTTCTAGACAAAAGCATTTTTGTCTGTTGATCTCTTATTCGATTCGAAGTTCATGAATAATAATAATAAATAATCAACAAAAATACCTACTGAAACATAATTGGAACAAAGAAAATAAAAATGACATGATTGATATTTTTGCAACAAAAAACCTAAATGACTTGTCAAGATTCATCCTCACTATAAACTTTCAATATTTTTGTAGGAGCTCCCGCGAGTGTAGACGATTTTTATCTGGGAACGGAGAAGGTGAGTGTTAGACGTTTTGTCTTTAATTCAGAAGTAAACTCTGAGGCTGATATTTTTTTTAGGTTTCTCGAGACGACGCAGTTGTGCTTTGTCAAGAACGATCTATGGAACTTGTTAGCATTCAAGATTCTGAGAAAAATGAAGCTATTTACGAATTATTGAAAAAACATGGTAAGTGGAGTAAGAAAAGCAGCATTTTGAAAGCAAGCATTTTGAAAATACTTGACTTATTTCTTCGAATTATGCATACTCGTTGGATATGAATTGAAATCAGAATGATATCAGAATGAAAGATCATGTTTTACGCAATTTGATCTATCGCTACAAAAAAGGTAAAAACCATTGAAATTGTTTCAAAGCTCTCTAACGAGAAGAAAATAGTAATATGATTTCAATTTCGAAACATTTACATTTAACTCTAATTCAGTGCCGCAATCATTTACTAATATGATTGACGCAAAATTATTTTCGAATAGCAATTAATAATTTAAGTGAGTATATACCTTCTAAATTAAACTCGAATACAATTATAGTCTGCATATTGTATTATATTTCCGAAAATAAATACAAGAAAAAAATTTAAAAAATTCACTGATACTAAATTTGGTTATTCATATTGATCTACTCTGTAGAAGAAGACACAAAATTCGTCCCTCAACGTGAATTATTGTATCATAAATTATGAGGATACTCTTGCGAACATTTCTTCGTTATCCTTCATTTTCATCTATCAATATAAAAAGATTCAATGTTTATTATTCTCGTTACCCTCTTTCCTTTATAATCTCATCAATTTTGATGACTTTATACTGATGGATCCAAAGCAAAAATGTTGACAGAAGCATTGTAATATACTCATAATATCAAAATACAATCCAAACTTGAGAGATAATCGAATGTGTTTTCTTCAGATTGGTTTTCTCTCAGAATTTTGATGGGGAAAATTCACTTGAACTTCCTTCATCGACTGATGGAAATTGCTTGAAACTGAATATAGATACATTGTTCGACTCAACCGTCCTTGAAGAACAAACCCGACTAAGAAACAGCGATAACATCTCCTGTTATGAAGACACCTCCTATAGAATTGATATCCACAAATATCAAAGATGAATGAGGATCCCCACGGCGGTCCGTTGGGAAACCAAGTTTCGACATCACGGAAAGAGATTGATCATTTGGAATTGGCCGCGGTGGTAGTGCGCCCGACTCACGATCGAAAGACCAGGGGTTCGATTCCCGCCTCGACCAGATATTTTTCTCGAGAGAATTTATCTGGTTGACGCTGGAATGATTCTGCAACCGTGTTTGGAATCACACGTTGAAAGTAAAGTCCTCGTTAGTTCTCAGCTCGCACAAGTTTCTCGACTTCTGAGAGTTTCTGTTCGTATGGGGGTGAAACTTATTAGTTCTTATCTTTTCAATAGAAAACAATGCGTTTGAGTGAACGGTAAAACATAAGAACTTCCATATTGTTAGTCATGAATTATCCCAAAGTTCGGTTTTGGGCCCTCTCCTTTTTATCATTTATTATAATGACCTCAGCTGCTTTATGTCACCTTATAGGTCAGTTCTCTTTGCAGACGACTCAACGTTTATTATTTCTGTGAAAAACAACGTAAATTTGGATGCTTCACTGGATTTCGCTACTAACAAGGCAAATGAATGGTTTGCAGCAAACAAATTAAAATAAAATAATGATGAAACACAAACAATGCAAATATCAGTAAATAACCAAGCAACTGTTAATCAAGAAACAAATAGCGTAGAACTGCTTGGCTTAGTGCTGGACCACAGACTAAACTGGCAGACACCTATTGATCAATTAGTTAAAAAACTATCTAGTTCCTTATTTATTTTACGACAATTGAAAACAATAACTAATTTTACAACTCCTAAAATCACGTATTTTTCACTGTTTCACTCTCACATTAGCTATGGCATTACTATCTGGGGTAATTCCTCCCATGTGATAACAATTTTTAAAATGCAGAAGAAGGCAATAAGGGTACTTGCCGAAGTAAGTTTCAGAGATCACTTTTTAAAAAAAAATTGAAAATCATGCCTTTACCATGTTTGCTTTTATTTCACACTTTAATTGAAATTCATAGAAGTCAGTCGGTGTTGCCGAGAAATTCGGATGTACCCAGCTACAACACCCGCAATGCTCACCTTATCCGAAGCAGCCGTTTTCGACTAAATATCTCACAGTCGAACTCGGTGAACTATGAGCTTTTTAACACATTGCCATCAAATGTAAAAAAATCGAGTACTAATGCCTTTAAAAAAGTATCTTCTTAAATATTGTTTTTACACTGTTGAGAATTACATTGCACATTGCCGAGCAAACCGTATTGCCGCATCTCTGCTGTGAAAGTTTAATAACATATTTTAACTCAATTCCTAAATTCCTGTTTCAACTGTATTTGCTGTCAAATTTTATGTAAAAAGTTTTTATTGGACTTTCTTTTTTGACGTGCTACAAACAAACATATTGTAAAGTAGTTAAATAAAATCTATCTATCTATCTACCTCCTTCAGAGGAGCTCTAAAATTCGATGCGTCTACATAACTGAAAAGTACTGAATAGTTATCAAAAGTTCGGATATTCCTTTGTCACGGTTTTCTTTGAGATATATTTACGAGCCTCCATTGCGCACATGACTTGGTTTGCAGAAGAGTCCAAGACTTGTTACCAAGTTGGTCGGATTATTTGGTCTATAAATAGTCCCACGAGTAGCTAGAGAAAAGAGGTCCATCACGACAGAGCCCGGCATCATTCTACCTAATACGAGAGAATGCATGGTTCTGTGATTTTTCAATTATGGATAGTGAGTGGGTTCAGAATCAGATACTCATATCTCAAGATGAGGCAAGGCTACAGAGCAGTTGATTATGTGACTCATTCGTAGAATGAAGCCTTCCATACTTTGGAATAACGACAGGGTCATACCGATAATCCTTACAGTGAAGAAGTATTGTCTAGATGAATGTACAGAACTCGCATTCTTTGCTGATAACTCCTACTCAGCAAACACGATCCTCAAACCTGATGTTCACTTGTATCACGGAAAAGGTAATGTTAATAGTGATGAAGATGGTATTGTATGTTATCTGAAAGACAACGGTAGATCATGAAATAATTGAAATGTAGGTTTTTGGCTTTCTACCTTTCCATCTTCATGCAGTTTGTATCTGAGAGTAACTACCTATTTCGAACCTGATTGCTTTTTTTCTCCCTTCAAAAAGTACTCCCAAACGCCTTTCTTTCCAGAAAACTAATTCTTCCTAAAATATTCCCCTCTCAATTCAATTGAAATATTTCATTCAAGTTAACTTCAAAACAAGTTATTGAAGACAACAATGAAAAAATTACTGCTACTAATGCAAGAAAATTCCTATGCAAAGGAATCATGGAAATCGGCTGGAGTGATGTTTGCCATTTTATCATGCAATAGTTTATTCAAATATAAAAGTTTTATTATTCCTTATTATAACTCTACCAAATATAAATAGAACTACATATGAAGTATCCCCTTTCGAATTGAAAAAAAAATCGAGATCAGCCAACGTTGGGAGAAATTTTCGTTGAACAAAAATATTTCGACGAATTGAGGAAGTCTTCCTTTTTTGTAGTTGTGAGAGGAGCATCAATATAATTGGCTCAATACAGAAGACAACTGAATATGGGATGATATTCAGCCACATGATATTCATTTGGTTAACAATTATGACTGAAACTCAAATATATATTCGCAAAGTACATTTCAATAAGCCACATTTTCACCAATTATCTATTTTGAAATGTTCTAACAATTTTTTGCAGATATCAATTATCCCGTTTGGACATCTGGATATCAAAGTTCCAATGGATCAATCTGGACCTGGTTGAACGGAGGAGAATTCAAATATTTCAACTGGGGTCCAGGAGAGCCTAATTCTGCTAGAGGCAACGAGAGTTGTTTGGAAGTGTTCAAAAAGAATACCGAAGTTTTATGGAACGACCAACCATGTGAAGATAAGCGTGGTTTCATTTGTGAAAAAGTACAAAACGAATGTGAGACAGAATTAGTTAGTGTCAGCGTTAATGAGAATGTATGCTCCATAAGCGCATCTGAACCAAATATTCCTGCTAAGAAGTTCTATCTTAGTACACAAAAGGTTAGTCTGAACTTTCGACAAATAATAGAAATGTTATTGTCTCGATTAGAATATTCGAAACAATATGTATAACAACATCTCAAAACATATAACGGCAACAAACATATAGGAGGTAGTCTAATTAGCAAGGGAGAAGTTAGTTTAACCTATTCAAAAAACACTTTATTGTGAGATTTTCACTAAACAGTTTAATAAAATCGCAACACGTGTTTCGCCATACAATGGATTATTCGTGCTGCTCAATGTTCAAACTCATCCAAACCTATTTGTTTCAACTCTCTTCATTTTGAAAAGTTGAAGTTTCAAGGTTCCAATTGAAAAAATTGTCTCAGGCAACTTTGGATTATTTTCGCTATATTTGATGAAACTTGGTATGTTATCTGGTAGAATTTTGATGAGAATTGTTGTATACAACTATCATTGAAAAATTCAAAACGAATCCCTGTTGAAATAATTCTTTGTATTCATTCAATTCATCGCAAATACTCTTGGATTGACAAGAGTATGATTGTATGAGATTGAATCGTTACTTACCATACATCCTGTATAACATTTTGCTGGTGGATGAGAATTCAAAATTTATATTGAAATAAATAACATCGAACTAAAAATTTAAAAATAATTTTTGAGTAAGCTCAAAACAATAACGAACGAAAAATAATAGTATTATTGTGGGTTTCAAATAAAGCAGCAGGCGAGCGTGTTGATAAAAAAATACTTTCTTCAAATGAAGTGAAGTGAGTTCGAATTATATCTAGGAAAAGATCGAAAACATCAAGCAATAATGTCGATAATTCTCTCAAATACAGATCCCGAGCATTCAAACGGGAAAAAAGAAGTACAAAACAAACATACATGTTATATATTCCAAAGCTACGATACAACATACATATAAGTGATGCTAATAAAAGCGTGTTGATTAATGGAAATATTCATGAAGAAAGCTTAAAAAAGAATCACTCTATTTCAAAAAATAGCAGGCTTCAGTAATACCATCTTTTGTTTATGATGTCCATTGTTTTTTAAACCCCAACTATAACAAATCGGCTTTGATTCATATTTATTAACTGTATATCAGTGACTAATGAAAACCACTTACGTTTAAGCAAATAAAAATGGTCGATATATAAAAAAATGAAAAATATATCATTGCAGGTTTGCTTGCATGAAAAATACAAAAGCAAAATAAAATGATTTTTTTCAACATATATCACTAAATTATCTTTATTTTTCAGGCAACGTATGCCCAGGCATTGAAAAGTTGTTCTGACATGTTCATGCAACTTGCTGAATTACGGAATGAAGAAGAAAATAACGCCTTATACAAAGTGATGCACGGAATAGGTAAAATCATTTCTGAAATTCATTCACATAATAACATTGAAAATTCTTCACTTACTAGTACTTTTCGATTACAATGATGAAATATGATTGTTTCCATAGATTGTATACTTCAGATTTGAATATTCGAAATGAATCAATCATAAAAACTAATGAAAGAGGCATGAAGTAAAGAGTTGTCTTTGTTCAAGAATTCAAACATATATTTTATTCTATCACAAAAGATACTGATACTCCAACCCAAAATTCCATAAAATACAAACATTACAATAGCATGACTCCATTTGTCAATACCATCATTTTTAATGATGAAATTCTTCAAAAAAAGTCATTTCATTAGATATAGAAGTCAATATTTTTCAATGAAAGCAAGAATACTTGAGATTTCCATTGTTATTTTGAACGTCTGAACACATCAGTTTTTATTGCTTTTTATCTGTTTCTCATCATTCTTCACAGCAACAACCCCATACTGGACTGCAGGACACAGAAACCCTGGTGGTAGCTGGGAATGGTTGAACAACGAACCTATTACTTATTTCAACTGGAGAGCAGGAGAACCCAATTCCGCCTCAAACGTAGGAGCCTGCCTCGAAGTTTTCGTTTCAGACAAAACCTTATTATGGAATGATCAAATTTGCTCCGACGAACGCTTTTTCGTTTGCCAAAAAGTAGATCCTGTTGTGCAAATAGCTGTGAAAGGAAAACTTACTCTTCCTAGTGGATCAGGAAACAATCAGCAGAAAGACTGTTCTGTGGTTGTGAAAAATTTGTAATTGGATATTGTTATAGTTTTTTTTTTAAATGAAATCTTGAAAGAAAATCAATAAATCGTGAAATTGTTCTGCTTATACACGAGTTTTATTAATTTCAGTATCGTTCTTCTTACAACTGTGCCTTGTTAATGAATAGAATCAACTGATACTGTTGAAAATATAAAACTATTGAAATTGAAGTATCTGCAGAGATATTTCGTGAAGGGTATGATACAGATAGAGAGTCGGTGAAACTGGTGCAAATTTGTTCATTTTCAGATACTATTGACTAATCACAAAATATCAGATCTGCAAAAGATGCAAGCAAGAATAGACCTATTGATCATAAATAACCACAAAAGGTATGAAAGAAGTCAGGAGGATCTGCAAATGATATCATCATGGCACATTTCAACATTATTCGTCAATAACGTCACTCCATGTTACAGGTCGAAAACGTGGACTGGTGCAACCTTGGTAGAATGGAACATAGAAGAAAGGTTGGAGATTTGTCTCTCTTCTGTATATACTTTCACGGAAAGTGTTCACGTGATTTGGTACATTTGATTCCAACCTATCGACACACTTATCAGGAATACGCGACGGACTGTGGCTGCTCATCGTTTTGAGATTTAACTCAGTACACCTTAAACTTCACTGTTTGCTCTTTCATCTGGAGAACTGCGTTTATGTGGAATAAACTTTCTGAGAACGTTTTTCCAAATGGATTTAACCTCCGGCGATTCAAATCCAATGTGAATCGCTACTTTTGCACTGGCACCGCTCTGAGCGCGCCTTTAGGATGTTTCAGTAGTGCTTGAGTTTTGTCCTTGAAAATAAACAATATAGCTGACCACTCGGCTTCGTCTTCCAGACGAAGGTGTATAAGCAGATATGTAATCTCGGAATAGTATTTCACGTACCAAGTAAGTAAGAAGTCAATTACCCACGAGCACGAAGCGTTAGCCGAGTACGATAATTCGTGAGTGGACGTAATTGGCCTTATCCTCGAGGTGTGTACTATACTTTTTCTACGACTGACCGTAGACAGGAATGGTACAATATACTTGTTTGAGATTATGTCTTCGTATAATAAGCTCCTTCAGTCAGAACTGACACCCGCTACCGCAGAGCTACTCTGGCGATTACTAATGTGTGTGTGATGTTTGATTGTGATATGAGTAGTAAACATAATTGATATTCACTTTGTGAGTAAATAAATAAATTTGAAGAGTTTTGACTAATATAAAAATGTCGAAATAAACGAGAAGAACGTTTTTCGAAAACGAAGTTATGTTTTTCATTTTGAACTTTTACAAGATATTGAATGACAGCTCATAATTAAAACAAGTGGTTGTTGATTCACGGATATAACTAGATTCATTACCAACATTACATTCAAACAGAGAATTTGAAGAGAAAATTCAATGATTTTGGTTTTTGAACAAGTGAATATATTTATGAGATTAAATTTATCAGGGTCAACGTTACATATATCATAATTTTTTAATTTCTCACGGAAATGGTCACCGTTTATTTAGACTAGATGTCTATTTTGAATGAGCCGTTACCTATCTTCTGTTAAACACGAAATAATTAGTTTGAAACGAAGGCAGTAGAAAAATACATCAAACAACTGATCCATATACGGTCTTTGTTACGGTACAAAATCAAAAAATATGTCGATTGAAAAAATAATAAAGAAATACTAAGGGGCGAGGATCAATTCAGAATTACAGAGCTATTCTCCAGGATACAAGCTAGTAGTCCAGGGCCGAAAGATATTAGAGTGAATGTATTGAAACTAGCGGTGGACACCATACCCGAAAATATGACAAGCATCTTTAACGCTCCCCTCAGTGGGGAGAGCTTTCCAATGAAATTGAAGAAGGCTACAATCGCTTTTGTTCCAAAGTGTGCACCAAACGCTAAATTATATGAGTTGTTCATGGGCATTTCATACACATGAATACTGTCCGCTATCAAACGACTATTCGAAAGATTCATAAACCGACAGGGTCAAAGAGAGGAGTAGATGACTGTAAGAAAATGCCGTTTACCGATAGATGGGTAACGCAGGACTCGATACAGTATAATCGTAGTCTCTATATAGCCTTTGCCGATTACTCCAAGGCATTCAATACAAAATCGCATGAGCTCATTGTTTATTAGCTCTGATACGTTACGGTGGCAGACCACCATTAGATAAGGTCAAACTAGAGTCCAAAGTAGGTTAGGAGGGATGTGTTCCAGGGAAATTCTCTTAGCCCATTCTCTTCTAAATATTACTATTGATACCAAGCGTTATAATTCAGGTATATCGTGTGCAGTCTTGTTAAACCTCGGATTCTTCTGTCAATTTTGAGGACTAGTAACTTTTTGAAAATAGGACTTTTATCCATTCGATTCCAGTTGATGATAGAGATGACCTCACTGGATTCGGTCATTGTTTCAATTCTCTGATGGTAAATTTTGCTAAAACAGTTTGTATGCACTTTTCCACCAGAAATGAAATATCTGAGAATAGTAGAATCTCAGTAAATGATTGTGAAGTACCTTTCGCGAAATCCACCAAATTTCTAGGAGTATTTGTGGACGATAATATGGGATGGAACAGCAATGTCAATCATATTTGCAAGAAATTGAATAATAGTTACTTTGCTATATTGCAACTGAAAAATATGTTTGTGACAAGTCAGTTGATCAGCATTTAATATGCTATTGTGTATTCCCATATATCTTATAATATTATTCTATTGGATGGTGCAGTGGGAGCATCCAGGGTCTTCGTCTCTCAAAAATGATTATATGATTAATGTTCGGCCTAGACTAGAGAGTAACATTTGGTAATCATTTCGAAGAACATGGAATTCTTACATTTCACTCTATTTACATCTAAAAATGCATTCTATTACCAAAAGTAATCATCATAACTTTTCTCTCAACTCTGATTATCACGACTACCCAAGTCGATCCTTGAAACTTATTAGGCCTCCTAAACATGAAACTAGTATGTATGAGAGAAGCTCAATATACAGAGGAATTCAATTCCTAAATCATCTGCCTGCCTGTATACGATTGAAAGACAACGTCTATGTTTTCAACTGGAAAGCTTTCTATGTAATGGGTGATACTATGACATATCAGAATTCATGAATAAAAAGATTAATAAATAACGTGAGTTATGACACTCAGATGCCCTGGTTATTATTATAACCTTCAAAACTTCCAATATTGTCATTTCATCTGATTTTATGTATACATTATGTCTGTGACTGTTCCAATATCATATAAATATGATCTGACTAGAATAAAAATTATTATTATTATTACGTTCTCAAACAATGCCTGTTTTTTTTTCAAAACCTATTTTTCGACAGAGATCACCAAGTGTCACGTTTCTGGGTAATGAAATAAGTGATACACTTATTAATTATATTTCGTTATCAAAAACTGTCACTGTAGCTTTATATCTTCAGAATATTACATATACGTCTTTTAACGTTTCTAAAAATCCTCTAAAAAAGTGCTGAATGTTTCAGAACATTGAAGACCACCACAGTTAACAGATATTCATTGAAATATTTATCACAATTTTTGTTTGAAGGTGGTTGACAATGTTTCGCGGTGAATTTCATCAGTTCAGAATTCCATTGTCTAATATAATATAAATTGATTTGAAATCCCTGAAAGAATCTGTAAAATTAAAAAGAATAATGGAAAAATTAAAATTTTATTGAACAAAAAACTGAAATTACAAAGATATAATATACAAACAACAACCAAAAAAATAAAAATTTTAAATATCAATACAAGCTGAAAATTGAAAAATTAAAAAATATCATTGGATAACAAAAAATTAAAAATAAAAATTATAAGATTCCAAACCAAGTTACGTCACGACGTTTCGATTGTTAGTATACACAATCCTCTTCGAGTGATAACTTCGGTGATAAAAGTTATCACCCGAAGACGATTGTGGATACCAACAATCGAAACTTGGTTTGGAATCTTTTTATTTTTATTTTTCATTTTTTATTAATGATTTTTTTAATTTTCGGCTTGTATTAATATTTCAATTTTTTTTTTTGGTTGTTGCTTGTATTGTTATTTCTTTGTAATTTCAGTTTTCTGTTCAATAAAATTGTTATTTTTTGATTATTTTTTTTAATTTTTTACAGATTCTTTGATAGATTTCAAATCAATTTATGTTATATTAGACCATGAAAGTCCGAACTGATGAAATACATTCATCACAATTCTGAAACCTAAGTTTGCAATAATATGTTATTTCTGGGTAACAGCTGAGCAAATTGGATAGATGAATCAATACATTTGTGTCTAATTGATTCAGTTCAATTTCAGAAAGTTCAAAGCAAACTAGACTGTTATTAGGGCTATTATAGCACTTGTGATAGTATCAGGTCTCGCACAACCGTTTCTCCAAATTGCATCCAGCCTTTATTCTCATATTTTCAACTGATAGTTCGGACAATCTAATTAAATTACGGGACTGCCAGGTTAAAGTGTACTGAATGGAAATATTCGTTGTTATACAGTGTGTCAATTTGAAAACTTCCCACCCTCAATATCTCCCTTCCAGTACATAATATGAAAAAATGGTCAGACAGGTCAACTTTATTTGCAAGGGGGACACTCTGAATGAATATTTTCAACCCTCGGGGTTCAACCCCCTAGGAGGGGTGGATGTTACCCTCAGAATTTCAAATGGAAAGGGGGGTCAAGTGGCACATCATTTTGAAGGGCATTCAATTC